ACCTTCCTTTTTTACCAAAAATCGACTCCACCAAAATTTCTCGGGAAAACACTTTTTCTTATTAATTTTGGTGCGTAGAATCCAAAACAATTCGTACTTTTTCGATCAGACTTCTCAATCAAAAGTTATAGACTAGAAAACCAATTTCGAAAAAAAATTCAAAGGGCTGTAACTTTTGAACTAGTAGCCCAATCTTGGAACTGTTTGAAATTATGGATTCTACAGGCCACATTCTATAAGAAAATTTTTTCCCGGGTCAATCTGGGACAATTTTTTTTGCGGGGCTCAAAAAAAGGCAGTGTATAACCTTCCTTTTTTACCAAAAATGGACTGCACCAAAATTTCTCGGGAAAACACTTTTTCTTATTAATTTTGGTGCGTAGAATCCAAAACAATTCGTACTTTTTCGATCAGACTTCTCAATCAATCCAAGAAACCAATTTCGAAAGAAAATTCAAAGGGCTGTAACTTTTGAACTAGTAGCCCAATCTTGGAACTGTTTGAAATTATGGATTCTGCAGGCCACATAGTCCAGTAACTTTGTTCCTAAAAACAATTACATTACAATAATTTGATGCCGTTTTTTATTTTCCCTGATTTTTTTCTGATCTAGAAATGGTGGAGGATGTATTGTGGAGAGATGTTACACAAGATATTGACAATCCAGCCACAAACCTTTCAAGTGAGGAAATGGACGATGCTCAACCGTGCTCGTCCAAGAAGGGAGAATATACTTAGATGGAAGTCAAACAAAATTTCTTTTTATAAAATGACTGTTTTGAAGTTTAATTAAGAATATCATTTACACCTCTCGTTTTCTTTTATAGAATTACAGAACAACAAAATAGTGCTAACAATTTTCGACTTTGAAAAAATCGATAAACTTTGAAAAGCATTATCTCGTAAACTATTACGGCTATAGAAACGGTTGTAGCCTCAAATTGTAAACAATTTACTCTACTTTCAAAGCGTATTCATTAGTTATTTTCGACAAACTGGTCCTTCAGGGTTATAATCGTCAAAATCTGAAAAGAAAACGAAAATTCCTCGGTTTTTAGTATATGTGACTATGTTGCGTTCGCCGCTCGAGGTCGAAAACTTGAATTATACATTGCGTTAACAACATAAGCAATCCCACAAAAAATCAGAACTACCGGATTAGACGCATGGTCTGATGTATATAGTTACTGGACTATAATAGATACATGAAAAAATCAGCCACCCCTAAAAACAAAAATTGTCTACTTTTTTTCGTCAATCGAATGCTTTCCAAAAACTATTTTATCACTTTCACTCCATAAGCGATTAAACTTCTCCAAACCCAACCCTTTTCAACAATTTTTTAAATGGGTGGCCAAATTTACTACCCCTTACTGACTCCCAGGTCGAGTTCACCCCCAAACCCTTTTTGCTAGCATTGAGACCGTAGATTTTTCGTATTGGGTCGAAACCATGACGTATCCGAGCGAATAGGTCACTCAGCGGTAAATCATCGGGCGCTACTCGGAACCACGTCATAGGCTCATACTCATTAAGCACTCTCGGAGCCTGGGAATATATCTGGATATCTGCCAGGGGTTTTCAATAACAATAGTCCCTCAAGAAAGCATGGCCAGTACGCCAGAGCGTGTACGCAACTACCTTAACACGATCCCTTAAGACTCTTGCACCCATCTGTGCACAATCGCGCATATTTGACCGGTCAGCTTGCCATATATTTATCAAATAAGGGTTGCGTTGACACTTTTTCATTAAGGACCACCATAAAAACCGTTTTTACAAAATGGTTGCTTCTAATAATACAACGTGAATAATCTGTGTATCGAAGATCTCACTTGCATAAAATAAAATTGAACCTCTACTGGATTGGCAACAATTTTAAGGATTGCGATCAATTTTATTTCACCCACTGCAAGCTCAAATGTCTATTTCTCGATCGTGCCCATTCTCAATTTGATCCATTCACCACATTGTGAATTTCTGGTACATTCTCCTGTTCAAACACACACATCTCTGATGCTAAACAAAATTTTATAACAACCAAAGGTATGATAGAAATTAAACCCAAGTTTTCCAATAAATGAAATAAACCGTACCCACTTTATGCTTACCTACACTAAAATCTAAGAGTCCATACATCTAATATTTTTACACCGTGATTTGTAGTAAACCAAAAACGGGTACGAAATGCAAGATGCGTTGAAGTTATCCCACGTGTGGATATCGCTTCTTATGTGAAAATCATGAGGGTTCGGGAAAAGGAGGGCACAGAGGCTAATAAATACTTCATCTACCGAATTTTGCTAAAATGAAATTTAAACGTATCTACAAAGACCTATCACAATCAAAAGATTATGCAAATTTGAAGCAAAATGGAACAATATTCGATAAAGACGCCGAAATTCCACCTTAATAAATATACGAGCAACACAAGATATATATAAAACCCGTAGCGCCGCCGGCGGCAAGTAAATAAAACGAAAGTAAAACAATTGAACCGAGAGGGTGATCTGATCGTGTGTTCGGTGGAAGGAGTAATGCCGTCTGCAGATTGGTTGAAAAGTTTTAGATTGGTTCCAATCTTCGTAATTTTGGTTGAGAAACTCATAATTTATTGCCTTAGCGAGCTTGTTTTCTGGTACACTAAGATGAAAAAGTTTGTTCCGAAAGCTCAGCTTTAATTAAAGCTTAATTTCTACGGAGGGCCGAAAAAAGTTACAAAACGACTTTTGGTAAATGGTTGCGGTTTATTAAATTACACTTTATATTACCGACTGTCTATACATATCGCTTCTCGCGTTTTCGTTTGATTAGTTTTAAAATCGCTCACAGACATTGTACTGAGTGAGATCGAATTATTGCTACGTGCAGAACAATGAAATTTTAATGTAGCTCCAGGAAGATTAACCAGGGAATTTCGCGTTGTCCGTAATATCTTTTCTGCGGAATATACCTCATACATAAAAACATGATAGCGGATCAGTTGTTAAGTTAAGCGAGAACTCCACTTTAGACAAAACCTTTTAGCAAATTGCATCAAGAGCGATATGGACTTGTAATACATACAATTCATTCAAGGAGAAACATGGTACGTTGTACCTATTTAAGCTCGTTTTGGTTCGATTACTAAAGTTAACATCTAAAAGCGGAATAGGCGATAACATAAAGCTTTCAAATAAGTGCGCCATAAAATCTTATTTATTTGGAAGAACAGTGCCTTCATTTAATTTTCTCAACGATAAATAAGTGACAGTGTTTCAAATGTTCCTGCTTTTCAACCGCACGAAATAAAATTGGAGTGAACGAATGTATGTTGCTAAAACAACCCCTAAATTCTTACGATCCAAAAACAATTCGAACCACGAAAAAGCATAAATCCTTTTTCATTCACCTGGAACATTCACTCATATTTCTCTAGCTTTTATTCCCTTTCGATTCCGTTTGCTCTACTTTACATGTTTTTTGCTACTCTGAAACCAGTATCTGGTAATCTAGGAAACGCGAAATAGGATTCCTTAAAGTCATATTCGTAAAATTATAAATGATTACTAAAAAGTAACTATTTACAGGCATATTAGACACAGTTGAAGATCGAGGCCTTGTATTTGAAAAAATCTTATGATAATCTACAAATTATTGGCAGTTCCATAATTGTCAGTTAAAATGTTGACATTTGAAACCACCCTTAATTTAATTAATTTGGGTTAATGGGGCTCATTTGGAAGGGTTTGGTGCAAGGATCCCACGCGTATGAATATTT